TTTGTATTATTTATATGTCACTGGTGATGTTAGGTTATTTATTTTATTATTGAATGTTAAATTGTTTATAATTTGGTATATATTTTACCTGTTTATTAATAAGAAAATATTATTATAATTTATCTGAGATTCTCGTAGGATACAAATAGGTTGGGTAAAATATTTGGATATTAGTGGTATAAATTAAATATAGATCACTTGAAAATTAATTGTAGTAATTAAATAAAAAGTAAAATAAATAGAATAAATAAATAAATAAATAAGTAAAATAATAGTAGTAATAATAATAAATATATAATAATAAAAAAAAAAGTAAAGTAAGGCGGTGGGGCGGGGTAATAATCTCCACCCCGCACCTCATCCATATCAATTCAATTGCAGAAGAATATGGAGAAAGACAACGCGAAGAAAAAAAAAAAAAAAACTTTTTACGCCGAATTCGTTAAAAGCCTAGTTCAGGTATTTTTTCGTGTTCACGAATTATTGCTATTTTTACTAAATAGAGGAAGTTTTGAGTAGAAATAATTATTTAGTAAATTGGGGTAATATTTGTAATTAATTGTTTTTAGATACGATACTGGAATCGTGAAAAGGGTTGTAAGAGTTAGGGTTATTGACGTTTTTGGCGAATTTCAGGTAAGTAGAAATTCATTTACAACTACAATGCATATAAATATATTATTTTGTGTGTTATTTATGTTTGATTGATAATATGTGAATATCGGACAACTATAATATGAGATTAATATTCTGTGATTATGTGGTTTGAGCCTGTGAGCTCTAAAATTGATGTGGTTTGAACCAGTGAGTTCAATAATATCTGTATATTGTTAAATATGTTGCATTGCATTTTCATGAAGCATGCATATCATGCATTGAAATGAAATAAGATGGTTTTACTACGTTACACCGCTGAATATACACCGAGGGCGGGAGAGACGACCTAGGAAGAAGCAACCTGGGGAAACCTGGTGTAGGCCACCGTCTATTGTGACTTTACATACAATACATAAATAATGCATTCGGAAGAGGCGACCCGGGGAAACCTTGCGAGGAAACCCGGTGTAGGCTACCTGATGTAGGCCACCGTTTGATTTGAATATGTGGCTATTGAGCTCTTTCCAGTTTATAGCAATGTGTCTAGGGGCCCTGGAGAGTATTTTATAAATAAATTGGTGATTTCAAACGAGAGCACATTCTGCATATTGAGAATTTTGGGATAAACTTCACATCATGCATAATTTATACTTACGGAGATTTATAAATCTCACTCAGCTTATGCATTGTAGGTAATCGAGATAATATATGACTTGATGGTCAAACTGGAGTAGCTGGGGGGCTCTTACAGGCATTTTGAGTTACCGTGTACATAGATGACGACCTGCGGGCAGGACCGTGGCTTGTTTTGCTTCCGTTGTTCCATATTACGTCTGTTTTAGAAATTGTATGGTGTTGTTATAAATAGTATGTCGATTGTGTAGTTTTTGATATGATTTGAGATCCTTTTGGTGAATGTTAATAGGCTACTGTTGAGTTATGTTATGTTTTGCTGAGAAAAAATTTATAGCAGGTTAACAGGTTGTTATATATGTAAGTAATTAAAAGGGATTATAGCATGTTTATCGTTTACTTATATGTGAATTGGTGGTAGTAGTATAGTGTAAGTGTGGTCGTGTCAACAGGGTATTGATTTTGAAGAAACATATTCTCCGGTCATGGATGGAATAACATTAAGGTATCTGGTGAGCATAGCAGTACACAATAATCTTGATATGCGATTAATGGATATGGTTACTGTCTATCTTTATGGCTCCTTAGACAATGACGTCTACATGAAAATCCCAGAAGGGATTAACATACCTGAATCATTCAAATCAAAGCCAAAAGAATCATATTCCATCAAATTATAAAAATCTTTGTATCGGCTCAAGCAATCGGGCCAAATATGGTACAATCGTCTCAGCAAAAGCTTAACCAAAGAAGGTTATATAAATGACCCTATCTGTCCATGTATTTTTATAAAAAAAATGGGTCTAAATTTGTAATCATCGTTGTATATGTCGATGATCTCAATTTGATTGGAACTCCTGATGAAATCCAGAAAGCTGTTGAATATCTGAAAAAGGAGTTTGGGATCAAAGATTTTGGAAAAACTAAATTTTGCCTTGGTTTGCAAATTGAGCATTTGGAAAGTAGAACATTTATCCACCAATCAAATTATACCAAAAGGGTACTAAAACAGTTCCTGATGGATAAATCACATTCGCTAAACACCCCAATGATCTTCAGAGCACTCGATCCAGCAAAGGATCCTTTTAGACCAAAAGAGAAAAACAAAGAAACAATTGGCCTTGAAGTTCCATATATGAGTGCTATAGGCGCATTAATGTATCTTGCCAACAGCACCCGACATGATATATCATTTGTTGTAAATTTATTGGCAAGATTCAGTTCATCGTCTACTCGACGACATTAGAACGGGATTAAGCACATTTTTCGCTATCTCCAAGAAACAATTGATCTCGGGTTATTTTACTCGAAAGATTCTCGACATGAATTGATTGGTTTTGCCGATGTAGGATATTTATCGGATCCCCATAAAGCCAAGTCGCAAACTGGCTATATATTTACTTGTGGCGAAACAGTGATCTCTTGGAGATCGATGAAACAAACTTTAACTGTCACTTCTTCAAATCATGCTGAAATATTGGCAATACATGAAGCTAGTCGAGAATGTGTTTGGTTGAGGTCAATGACTCAACATATTCTGAAAAATTGCGGGTTAATACCTGACGATAAAATTCTTCCAACTACATTGTATGAAGATAATACAGCTTGTATAGCGCAATTAAAAGGGGGTTACATTAAATGAGATAGAACGAAACATATTTCACCAAAATTCTTTTTTACTCATGATCTGCAACAGAATGGTGAAATTAATGTGCAACAAATTCGATCAGATAATAATCTGGTGGATATATTAACCAAGGCATTGCCGACGACAACATTTGAAAAACTGGTGAAGAAAATTGAGATACATCGGTTAAGGGATCTCAAATAATGCTCAGATCAGGGGGAGCGAATCGATACAAGAATGTTGTACTCTTTTTCCTTCACTAGAATTTTTTGTCCCATAGGGTTTTTTCCTAGTAAGGTTTTAACGAGGCATATTCTTTATATAAAAGCATCAAATGGGGAGTGTTATAATAGCCACGTACGAGACACATAAATGCTACGTAGTGTGTATGCCTTTATTTCCTTCAGCGTGGGGTTTTCGTTGTGTATAAATACGGACAAAAATGAAATGAATTGTAGACCCCCTCATTCTCTCCATTCCTCTCTTACCTCTCTCTAATTAATACTCTCTCTCACACACACACACACACACCTATACATCCATACACACACTACTTACATTATACATTATGTACTTCAGTTATATATATATATAATTTATATACACAATATATATAATATAATACAAAATATAAAATAGTAGTTAGCGTAGAAATAATTACTATTTCTATTGGTTAATACTATAATAATATTACAACTCCATATACTTAATTATTTATTTTTTTTATCTCTATTTATTAACATAAAAATTTAATAGATATAACTATATATTTTATTATACTAGTAATTATTTTACATAACAATATTAAATTTTGTTTTGTTCTATTATATAATGATATTACATTTATTTTATGTATAAAATATAATTAATTTTATATTTAGGGTGTGTTTGTTTGGGAATTTGGATTTTGAGTTGGGATTTGAATAGTAAAATTTTTGAATTTGAATAGTTGTATGATGTGATATAAATAGGTGTTGATGTGATGTTTTAAATGTAAAATAGATTTTTAGTATAATATAAAGAATGAAAAATATGTGTTTGATTTGATCTTTTGAAGAGAAAAAATGGGATGAATAGTGGAAATCTAATCCACTACCCCAAACAAACATATCCTTAATGATTTTTTTTTTATTAAAGTACAAAAATTATAGAATTTTTCTATTTTAAAATTATTTTTTTACGGTTTATATAATACAAAATTAAAGTAAGTAATGCATTTTTTATTGTTTGTTTTTGTTTCTTTTGCTTTTCATGACCGTATTATTATTAAAATAATAGACAATTAATTGAAAAGGAAAAAAAATTAGGTTAACTTATATGTAAATAATATTAATACGTCTCTCAAAGTATAATTGAACTAATTATTTGTATAAATACTATATATTCTGAAATTAATCTAAAATATTTACTTACATTTCTTCCTACATATACAATATAGAAAATATTTATATTTACTTTTCGCAAAAGTTATATCTAAATTAATATTTGCATAAATATATTTATTATTATTTAATTATTCGTGCTCTAAGAAAAATTAATTAATTATATCAGATGCACATTGTTACTAATTTTGAAATTTTATTTTTTAAATCTTAATTTTTTATTAATAAATTTTTAAATTTAATTTTATAATATCTTTCTTTAAAATGAGTCAAACATATTATAATAAATATATTACCATTTTATTTTTAAAAATTATTTAAGCAATATCTGACCCTATCTACGTAGGGGTTGAAATTTTTTGTATAGTATTAAAAATTTCATAAAATTGGTAATATAAATTTTAAATTAAAGTAAATTGAAGATAGAAGTACATGAAAATCATGCGTGGCAACAGTATAAATAAATACTAATAATAGGAGTGTGACTTGCATGATATTAGATTCGGCTGGAGATTTACCTAGTGCGCGACTGCGGGTTCCCACGTCATATTAAAAAAAATACTAATAATAGCAAATAATTTATAGAACAATTGAACATTTTGAAGAATTTTTTTTTTTAATATGAGATATAAAAAATATGATAAATAATATAAAAATAATGAATGTGTATAGAATATTAATTTTTTGGAAAAATATGTTGAAAATTTTTTGTTAAAGAAACAAACTAGTATGAATACACTTTTAGAAACAATAGACAAACTCAAATAATAAAACATAAACATTTTTTCTCTTAGACAAGAGAGTAATATTTGTGTATCATTGTTAACAAGTTGTCTATCTAGCTCATCATCCATTAAGTTGTGAACACTGACGACTGGTCCTTTCAAACAAGGTTATGATGGGCTGTGAGCTAACTCGCACCAGAAACAATTCTAATCAAAACATCTGAAAACAATGAAATAAGTGATTCCGATCAGCTCAGTTCTCATCGAGCATCGGTTCGTGAATTATACAGCATCCATAAATGAGAGCATTGTCGATAAGAAATTCTGTGATATCGGTAGCTATTATGTTCAGGATTGGCCATTACAATTATGCACCTGCGACAAGAGTGTCGGAAGTTAGCATGCCTGCAACCTTTGAAGGTCAATCGTCGTGGAATTATAAGCAAATTCAAATTTAAGAGATTGGGAACCATATAGACATGGTAGGTAAACGAGTTTGTTCACTTTCACAAAATAAAATACTACGATTGTTCCTAATAAAAATACACTACATTTTACGGTACTGTAGCAAACAACAAAATCACCAAAAATTCCTAACCACTAAAGAACACGACAAAATGTAATAATTTATGCTAGATGGTTGTTCACGTCTTTAAAATTCCTTGGTTGCAAAACATTTTTGTAAACGCTCATGATACCCAACTACACAATTCACAAATACATCCTCCCTCAACAACTTATACATAGCAGCAGTAGTGATTATGACAATTATCATGGTCGACACACAGAATCAGATGTAAGCAAACAATTCAGAAACCATTTGTTAATGGCGTACATATACATGTAGTTTTGAATGCACGAATATATATATATATATAATTTCTACTGGGGGAATCCTCCTAGGATTAGGATTAGCAGAAAAACTAAAAAATCAGCTAGTTGAGGATGTCAAATGCAAAAAACAACTAAACAATAAAATACAAAAATATCGATAGAAATTGCACTGAAGGTATGCTACAACCTTTTACCTCTGGCCTTGCATTCAATTGTCCAGAAACTAGCATTTCCGGTGATATTTCACAGAAGCCAACCGTTTCCTAATCTCATGAAGCCTTTGTTTTTCTACATGCTGCAATGAGACATTATAAAAATCCATAATTATCCCGTACATAGTTCAACAATATCTTAGTAGCAGTCTTTCAATGAATGCATAGGCTGCTTCACAACTTACAATATCCATGTCAACACCTGCAATCTGTTCTTTGCAACGATTGATTTCCATCTCAAGAGCATTAATCCGAGATTCAATAGGCACATTGCCTTGCCGAAAATTCACTGCAATAGAACCTTCCCTGACAGTATAATATGTGTTATATAGTGCAGTAAGAGAATCACGAAAATACCAGTAATAATTTTTAGGTAGAACAAGTATACGGATAAGATTAATCAAATAACAAATGGAAGCCATGAAAAGAAAAAATTTAAACAAATGCAAGCATGCATTCTGAAACATGCTCGGCAGCCAAACAGCCAAATCATTGGGTTCAACTTATTCCAAAAATCCTGTTTCCAAGCACAACCTCTTCAGAAACTAAACTGAAACAATCTTTGAAAACGAAATACTTACAATCAAAGATCACATACACATAACAGGCTTTCTAGATACAGAATTTTCCTCCTTTCTTAGTGTTAGATTTTGCAGAATTTCAGAGTTGTGTATTATTAATACTAAAATCAGGTGGTTATAAATAAGTGTGATACAAACTCAATAAAGTTAACTAACAACATATTCCAGATATAAGAAATTTAATTAAAACCATAAACCAAATATCTAAAATATCTCAAATATTCTCTTCAAACTCAAGAGATGTTGCAAAAACAATCTGAGTTTGGTAAGATAGATCGAAGATGGCATAACCTTAATCATCCCAAGTCAATGTTAGAAGTCGTTCTCAATTTAATTAAAGTCAGAAATATGACTCGATCACAACAAATTAAAGTCGAAAACAAGACTCTCAATACAATTAGAGTCAAAAGCACGGCGTTGAACTGAACGGAATCCGTACAAACAATCGAAGGTTGTACATAAACTCTATTGAATCTGAAAAACAAATTTGACAAAAAACCAAATTGGGCATACAGACAAATGCAAACATCTCAAAATCGAGAAACCTCAGGCTACATTCCGACTTGAGTGTATCTTTTAATATCATATTACATTTTGTAAGAATTTCAAAATTACAATTTAATCTAATAGATATAACTAACAATCTAATATAACATAACAAAAATATAATCTAAACCATAAACTACACATCTAAAATTATCTCAAACACTTAGAAACATTGGAGCGAGAAATATCACACAAAAACTCTCTACCACATACAATACTCCAATTCATTTCAATTATCTAACAGCATCGCAATATGTTCATAGAAACATTTCACAGCATCAGAAAGTAGACAGAAAATGCCTCCTGCAGATATGTATATAGAGATAGACAAGTAGAGATTACCTAGCCTTGCCCAAATTCATCTTTTCATCAGCCATCATATTCGTTTTCTCTTTCCCCTCTGAGGATTGGAATTGTACATCTCGAATTTTCCTCAACCGCTCAGCTAATTCACTCTGCATTCTCAGAATAACAATTCGACGCGCCAAGCGTTTTCTTTCCCTGTCCTTGTACCTACAACAGTTGGTTTTTTTGGGACCATTCAATTCATATCATCAAACCATTCAGCAGAAGAAACACCATTTCTAAGAACAATTGTATAAAATAAAGGCGAAAGCAGTTAAATTATTGCCTGATTTTGTAGAGGCTTTTAAACTTTCCGCTGAGTATTGAAGATGAGGTGCTTTCTTTCTCCTTTTTTGAATCGTCGGTGGAAGATGAGAAATCGGAACGGAGAAGGAACGACCAAAGAGAATCTTCGGAAGCAAGTCGACGGAAACGGCTGCAGGCTACGGAAAGCGAGCAGAGGTCCTTGTATTCTAGGGTTTTGGATTCGATCCCGGCTTCCATTATCGTTATCCAGAGCTCGTCCGGCAGCACCGACATGATGTTCTTTGTTCTGGATTTAGGGCCGACGGTCGGCCGTCGATGATTTCGCCTCTCGGTCTTGGGCTTCGCAAAAGAATACTCCCTCCTCCTTCACATATACTTTGTCCAAATTAATGTAATATTGGAAAATATAAAGGTAAGTATATTTAAAAAAACTGAAAATAACAAATTAGCACTTGTATAGATGCATATGATTGGAAATAGTGACTCGCCAATCCTATTAAAAATAGCATTCAACAACATCTCAAAGCTTCACCGTTGATAGACATGATAAATATTCTCATCTTCATCTTTTAGTATGGATATTTTTTTTTTTTTTTTTTATTTTTATGACGTGGTAATCCACAGCCGTAACCTAGCCGAATCTAATACCCTGCAATAGTGGTGACGTGAAAATTCATAGCCGCTACCCGAAAGTGCGCACTGAGTAAATCCCAAGCCGAACCTAATACCCTGCAAACCAGGCCCGACGAGATCAGTATGGATATATTTTTTTTTTGATCGGAGGGATCAATATGGATATTTTGATCCATCCAATAGTGGTTCATCCTTTGACATGCTTCAAATATGATTTCTCTGAGCTAATCTTTTAAAAAGTATGCTCTAATGTCAATTGACGGTAGCATAATATGTATATCCAAGTAACTAACTACACTAGATCTGAGCAATACTAAAGTATTCGCAGTGGATAAATCAATCATCAAGGGTGAGTGAGAGCTCATATCAATTGTTCGTGTATTATTCAGACGATCGATGATCAGCAGTGAAAAAGTGCAGAAATTATAAAAAAAATTGAACACAAATTTTATTTATCCATTTTGGTCACCAACATGACCTTTATCTCGGAGCTTCCATCCGAAGAAATTCCACTAGATGGTAGGCAAGAGCAAGCAAGTTATATATTTCTTTTAAATTTTAATAATAATAATATAAAGTGAAAAAAATGCTATCAAATATGTTACTGAAATTTAAGTTATAATTTTGAAAACAAAACTAAATATATTTAATAAATAATAAAAATATATCAAATTATATATACATATTATATAAAATAAATTATATTACAATAATTTATAATAACATTATTAAGGATATTTTGGGTAAGAAAAAATAATTATACTATATAATAAAATAAAGTAAATATAATATAATTTTATCTAATATTTAATTATGCAAAGTAAATGTTATATTAATTAGTCCATTGATTATATAATTCATTGAAATAATATAGATATTATAATACAATCCTTCAAATTAAAAGCACTCTAATTGTACCTAAGGACTTTGATCAAACAATGCAACAAAACTTCTCAAGTTTTCACCAAAGCAATTCAAATTCTGAACCAAATTAAGAATATGAAAACCCTTTCGAGTTTAAACTCACTATAACTATATGTTCTACACCAAGAATATCTCACAAGAACCATGTATCTTTCAACCCGTGAAAACAGAAGATAAGAAATCAATATGATGCACAAATTAATCCCATCTTGATTTTATCCACAAATTCAAAATTTTCCAATAGGTGTAATATATAATCCTCTTGAAATTTCACAAAATCTTCCCCAAAACTCTATCCATTAGTTTCTCAACAAACTTGGAAACTTTCTTCCTTATCGAATTATATATCTCAATCCATAATAAATCTCATCAAATTATGCCATAATGACTTTATGCGGGTATTCATAATTTTTGTCAGTATTTTCAAATTTTGTTCCTCTAATATTAATTTTGTAAAAAATATCTTTAATTTTTACTAATCATACTAAAATATAGTCCAATTATCAATTACAAAATAATTATTGAAGAATTATGAATTTCTCTCTTCTCTCTCATTATTAATGTTTCTCTCATTCTTTTTTTTTTTTTATTATATATATATATTTAAGTTTATATTATTATAATAATTATTATTATTATAATATTAATAGTATATAGTAATATATTATTTATATGTTATAATGATATTTTTTTACAAAATAATTTATATCAATTATATTTTTATAAAAAAAATTGTTTTAAAATTATTTAAATATATAAATTTCATTAGAGTGATTTTATTTAATTTTTACTATTTATGAAAAATTTTCCCCCAATAAATATAAAATCACACACTTATTTTTAATTTTTATATTACACTAAAAACTAATTTTATATTTCAAATATCACATTAATTCTTATTTATATCATATCACAAAATTATTCAAATTCAAAACTTTACATTCAAATAAAAATTTTGAAAGTCAAAATCCCAAACAAATACACAATTTTTTTTTTTTTTTTCAAATGTATTAAATACTTAATCAATGAATATTGGTTATTATATCATAGTCTCCCTAAAAAAACAACTAAACATTCAAATATATTTCTAAAAAGCAAATCAAAAAATTCAAATTTTAAGTTATGCTTAGTTGCTTTTAGAAATATATTTGAAATGTGAAGAATTTTTTAAATTTAAAATTTTTTAAAATAAAATTATCAGAAAGTTGGAAAGTTTGAAATTATAATAATTATAGTAACGAATATTAATTGATGATATAAAAATAAAAATTGTATTTAATATATTCGATAAAAAAAATTGTGTTTGATTACGATTTTTGTTTTTGATTTTGATTTAAATAGTACAATGTTAAATTTGAATAATTGTACGATAAAATTTAAAATTAAATCAAATTACACAAATGAAATCAATGTATTTAATTATTTTAAAATATAGTATTTTACAAAAATATAATTAATATATAGTATTATTCTTTAAAAAATATCGTTATATTATACAAAAAAAATATATATACTATTAATATAAACTAATGCATATAATAATAATAAAAACAAAGAAAGAGATAAATATTAATACGGAGGGATGAAAGAGAAACTCATAGCTATTCGCTAATTATTCACTACTTGATAATTAGACTATATTTAACATTGATTAGTAAAAGTTAAGAATATATTTTACAAAATTAATATTAGGACATAATTTGAAAAGACGGTCAAATATAAGGACATAAATTGAGAATATCCTGACTCTATGCATATGATCATATGATCATATCGAAATTATTCAAATCTTATTGAAATCTTTAACTTTATTGTCAACGCAGTTAGATCGCCGGATGATCGTTCGGATAACATTCTCTCTCAAGTATGCTAGTCATCTGATGATCTTGTGGATTACCATATATCTAACAAAAGAACTTTCAACAATAGGAATAACAAGTAAGAGTGTATTCGTTTGAACAATTTCTCCAAAATTCTATTATTCACTAATTTTTTTTTTTTAAAAAAAATCAAATCAAATACTTATTTTTTATTTTTTATATCAACAAAAAATTAAATTTACATTCAAAATATTACATTTTATATCATATCATATAACTAATCCAGTTCGAAATTTATACTATTTAAATCTCAATTAAAAATCCAAACCCCTGAAGCCGAGAATTAATTATTCTTACAATTAAATACTATTATACTATATATTAATAATGTATATATATATATGTGTGTCTAAATATATATTATATAATATAGATAGATGTATATTTATGCATATATATAGATTATATTATTCGTTGCAAAATGTAATATCATAGCAATTTTTTTATTTTTTTTATTTTTTTTATTTTGCAACGAAACGAGCGTATACCACATTAGTAAAAGTCTTTGGTGATGAATATGACTTTCATAACAAAAAATAATTTTTTTGCAATAAAATTTAAGAAAATATATATAGCTACGAAAATATGATTTCATAGCTAAAGTTTTTTTGCTATAAAATTAAAATTTATATTAAAAGAGTTTTAGCAACAATATATGATTTTTGTATCCAAATGACTTTAGCTATAAAAAATAATTTTGTAGCCAAAACATTTTTGCTATAAAAATAAAATTTTCTATAAAAAATATTCTAGTGATGAAATTATTTTTGTAGTACATAATTTACTAAAAATATTATAGCTAATTAGATATTTTTATTGTAGTAGTTTTGTATATTTAGATATGTAATTAACAGAGAGACGGAGAGGAAATGTGCGAGATGTAAGAAAATTGGTGTATCCTTATTTTAGTAGCATTCAATATATTTATAGACATTTACATTGCCTCAATCAATGAATATAATCTAACTATTACTTCAGCATATGAGATTGTAGTATGTCTTTCAATCGGTAACATCCACGTAGTCTAATACACAACATATAGGTGTAGTCTCTATATGTATATTGTTGTATAATATTCTCCTTGGATGTTTTTAGACGAAAAAATATATCTCATTAAAACTTTATTAGGAAAGATTTTGTGAAAAAGAAAATTCTAGTGAAAAAAAGTATATCATCTTTATTCCGATTTGTTCATATGTTTTATGCATCATTTGAGATCTCCGAACCGATGCATTTCAATTTCCTTCATCAATTATTTGAATGTTGTTTTCGGTAAGACCTTGATATCTATAAAATTTTCAGATTATCGAATTTATTATACATCTATTTCATCATTCTTTTGAAAGTCATGAATAAACAAGAATTTTGATGAAATATGATTTGTTTTATAATATTTGATATATCCCCATTCAATTAAGCAATGAAAATTGCATTATTTTCATATATGGTTGTTGGATAATAATTATTTTCAGACATTAACCCATAGTTCTTTCTAATATGTTGGGTTATTGACATAAGTTAAACACATTATCAACTTACTTTATGAATAGTCAATACTTCTACATGATTTGATGATGTGGCATTTATTGTCTGTTTGGTTGATCTATAAGAGATCATAATATCATCAAATGTAAATATATAGTCGGTTTGAGATTTAGCTTTATGCGGATCAAACAAATATCTGACATCAGTGTAGCCTAACAAGTCATGTCGAGAATTACTCAGATAAAATACACCAAGATCATTTCTCCCTCGGAGATAGAGCAAAATATGTTTAACCCCATTCCAATATTATTTAGTATGAGATGAACTAAATCTGACCAATAACTTTACTGAAAATTCTATATCTGGTCTTGTATAATTATTTAATCTGCAAACCAAGACAGAACTTTGTGTTCCATATTTTTTTATCTTAAATTATTTTTTCGAGATATTATTGTTGATGCCGATTTTCAACAATTAAA